TATGTGGGAGTCCAACACCTTAAACACCACGCCTCCTCTTGGCCCCTCATTGGTAGTATTTTCATGTCAAGGTATTTGGTATTGAGAAGAAGAGTCATCACTGAGCTTTTGATACATACAGGGGAAGTTTGTGTGAAGGTAGTGAATTTTATGAAATTTACAAAAGAGAATAATGGCATTTACAAGACATTTTCCTAACATTAGCTGGAGTGTAAGGGCTGAAGCTCAGATCATGAAGAGAAAGGCTGGGAGCGAAGCTCTGGGATTAGTAAGGGGAAGACTCAGTAGGGTACATGGAGCCCAGTTGCTGGCTGTGGGGAGGTCTTACCAGTGAGAATATAGCACCGATTCCATTGATGAAGAATGGGGAAACAAACAAACAAACAAACAAAAAACAACAGAAGGTGCAAGAAAAGTGACATGACTGAATGATGGGTGAAAAGATTTTGACTGGAAGGGAGCATAAGTCATTAGAACAGCCGTGCACACATCTAGACATAGAAAATCATCTCTGGTGATTCAGAGTGTGGACCCCAGTGTCAGATTCTCTTGGCTCAATTTCTGACTTTTGGCAAATTTCTCAACTTCAGAGAAACAGTTCATCTTCTGAAAAATGGGATGAGAGTGGAATCACATTACAGATGAAGTAAGTGCCCAGCAAGTTGTATGCACTCAACAAATAGAAATGTTCCTGCTACTGTTTGAACAGAGATCAGAATTTATGAAGCTATGTAATGCTTGAAGGATTCCCACCAGCTTCCTCCTCAGTAAAATAAGCACGTTAGTCCTTGCCACTGCCACCCTGGGGCATGGTGTGTGCATCCCTGCCGTGCTCCCAATGACTCCTTGTTTCCCTGCCCTGGTTAGCTGAGACAGCAGTTGGCTGGAATCGATGTGCCTTTCAGTGAGAGAAGTGAGTCCTGCTCGCTCCCTGCTCCCCGCTTTTGTTTCTGGCTCTTACTCAGTGACAAGTGACTGGAGGCAGGGAAAGAAAAGCATGCTCCGAAGATGACCTGTTGCTCTCATCTCTTCCTGATCCATTTCTGTCTCAGAGAAATATGTGCCCTTGGCTCCATGCTGTTTCCCACTCTGAGTCATGGCCCTTCCTTTCTCTCACCGTTCTCCACCCCTACCTTTTCCTATAATGGCAAAATGACTTCTCCAGCCGTGCAGCCAAGCTGAGTGACTGACCACGGCCAAGTGCAGGCGGATAGGTGGCCCTGTCCTATTTTGGGATGATTGTTGAAGTGTGTCTTCTGATTTCTCTGACTGCTGCCTGATCTTTCTTTGCCACAGACACATTGCAATAGTCAACAGCACCCAGAGGCAAGAGGTGAGTAACACCGATATAACAAGCTATAGTCGGTTTTCAGTTTTGTTTTTCTGCATTGTCTTTAGGACACATGATTCCAGGAGAGCCCTCATGCTCCCTCTCAGGGTCCTATTCATTCAACAAGACAAAAGCAAGTTTTCGTTCTGGAGAAAAAGAAAACTCTTCAGCTGAGTTCAGCTTTCTCCACTCCTGCCTCATCTCCATAGCCCCCTCACTAGGGATCTGAGGCAGGGGTATCTAAAAGCCAGACTGTGGAGGGTAAAGGTGGTGCCCTTGCAGCCTCCAGTCTCTTCAGTGAGGTGGTTTTTCCACTGTGTGGCACTCTCATATGATGCTCTGGGCCCTTCTGCTCCAGTCTCTTATATAGTTTTCAATACCTTTTCTCAGATTGTTTATTTGCATTAAAGTAATAGATGACTACTAATAGAGCAAAATGTTGCCTCACTCAAGAGTATTTTTCACTTAAAAACGCATCAGACCATAATGCTTCAATGGCAGGATTTCAGACACAATATAAAGAAAGAAGTGGGAGAGTGGATACAAAAACATAATTTAAAAATACAACAAGGGAACAGGGACCAGAGGGTTGCATGGTAGTTAAGGCGCTGGACATTCCTACATGGCTGACCACGGTTCAAATCCCAGACCTAATGGCTTGCTTTCTCACTTTCTCTCTCTCTCTGGTCAAATTAAAATAAATAAATGAATAAATGAAATTAAAAAAATAACTCTAAAAAAATACAACAAGGGGAGGCCCCCGGGTGGCATGGAGTTAAGGCACCAGACTCCCACATGGCTGATTGCAGTTCAAGTCCCAGACCTGGCCACTCTGCTTTCTCACTTTCCCTCTCTCTGTCTCTCTCTAATGAATTAAAATAATAATAATAAGGACGAGCAGGTGGCATAGTGGTTAAGGCACTGGACTCTTATTACATGTTCAAATGCAGTTTGACTCCCAGACTGGTGGCTTGAAACTCATGCCAGGTGCATGTGCATATGTGCCCAAAATCCTGAGAGGAGAATGGAGAGGAGCCTGCAGCATGGCCATCCTCCCTGAGGGATGATTTCTTACTTTCTGTCTCTTTGGAGAGCTCATGTGCCATATACCAAAGTCTCTAAAAAAATTAGTAAAATTAAATAATTATTTCAAAACAAAACAAAACACAAAGGGGCATCTTTCCATCATTTTGCTATTTAGAGATAAACAGGGTAAAAAATGGAGATGAATAGATTATGAAAGCCCAGATTATTTTTATCCTCTGATAACCTGAATCTAGTCTACCTGTAGCATTTGTTAGTTCCTCCATCAAGTCCTTCCCCTATCTTCCCTAAACACATTTATATACCTTGGAGGGAGGAAGTACACCAAATCCTGATTTCGTAGTTACATTAGCCATGCTGTTTTCATTGCAGCTCTACCTACTTTCTAATTAATTTTTTTTTTTTTTAGTTTCTTAAAGTACTGTGTAATCCTGTACAAATTCTGTACATTCTTGTTAACTTAAACAAACGTTCTGATAACGTCACAAGTTAAAGCAACCGAGCCATTATTGGTCTGATTTCTCCACTATGCTACTTAATTTGTCCTGGTATTCAAATGAGATAATGTCTGAGGCTGTGTTTTCTAAAATGTAAAACTCTATAGAAACAATGTTTCAGTATTTCAAAGTGGGAAAAAGGGTAGTAAACAAAGCAGGACTCTAAAGTGCATGTCTAAGTGCTAGGGCTTCCTGATTCTGAAAAGTCTGAAAATAAACCCAAGATAAGAGAATAGAGACCAGAGAGCAGGCCAAAGGATGAAATGCCCCTGATCGTCTTTATGTACATTTTGGTTTCCTCAACTTAGTGATTCATGAGTGAGAAGGAAAATTGTATTAGAACCAGTACACTTCAGATCTCCTTGGCGAAGGAAGACAATTACGAAGTTGAAGTGTGATTCCCACTCCTCATTCTGCAATCATCTCAAATTCTCTTCATTTACTTATTCATGTAGTCATTCATTCAGAAAATGTTGATTGAACTCATTAAGTACTGGGCACCATTCCAGAATCCCAGGAAACGAAAATGAAGTCAGTTTTTGGTTCTCAAAGATCTAACTAGCTATCTAGCGGGCTTAGTTAATAGGGTTACTATTACAGGGTGGTAAGTGATAATAAGGTTTTGCGCAAAGATTTATAAGAAAATACAGCAGAGGCACTTAATGTGGAAGAATTTGGGAAACAGGTAGAAGTTAGGCAAGCCATCGAGGGGAGAATAATGCTAGCATGGGGCAGGAGGATATAGTGCTCAGGACCGTTACATGTTAACAGCATGGGCTCTTTGCAAGCCTGCAGACCAGTCATTAATGATGACTTGTCTAATGATTGTGAAGGTCCTCTACATGTCACTGAAGAGTTTGGGTTATTATTATTCTTTCTTTTTTTGGAGAGGTTTTTGCTATAGGGCACTTGCGCTCTCCAGAAAGGCAGAGAGAGACAGAGAGACAGAAAGCGAGAAATCACCCTCCGGGGGAGGGGGGGATGGCCACACTGCAATCCCTTCTCCCCCATTCTCCTCTCGAGATCTTGGGCATGCATGCACATGTGCCCAGCGTGAGTTTAATCCACCAGGTCCAGGACTTGAACCGCAGTTGACCACATGGGAGTCCAACGACATAGCTGCACTCATCTGGAGAGGCAGAGAGGGAATGGGAGAAAGCACTCTTCCCTGGGATATAGTCACATTGCAATCCCTTCATCTCTCCATCCTTTCAGGATTTGGGGCATGCACACACATGTGCCCAGCTTGCAACACAAAGACTTTTTATTTAAAGTTCTTCGAAACTACTAGTATAAAGAACATTGAAAAAGGCCAGACACCTGTTTTATTATTAAAGGTTGGTCATTTTCCTAGATTAACTGACAAGGAAATCTATGCCAAAATCAGCAACTACTCTTCACATACTCACTTTCCAAAAATATTTTTGGACTCTAGTCTGGCTTCATGGTACAGGTATCCAAGTTCATGTGATTTATATTGTTTGACTTTCTTATTTAAAAAATTGGAAACAGAAATTTTAGTTTACTTAGGATCAGTAAGAAGAGACTATAAAGAAGATGAAATATAGTGGGTTTGTGAATAAACTACTTCATACTATTATAGTTATCAAATGACAGAAAAAGGTATTTGAAATCTTTTAAATGTCAGAAAACAAATAATTAAATTATTGAACTCATTATTTCTCACAGATATATTCCTGAAAAGCAATAATGCATATATTTATTAACTATTTTGTCTTCAATAAGGTAAAAATTGGTTTAAAAAGGTTCTTCATCAATCCCACTTTTTTTTTTTTTGATGTTTACAATTATTTTTATTACTTTTTTTAAGGTTTTTGCTATAGGGCATATGCGTGCTGGAGAAAGAGAGACAGATGGAAAAAGAAGGAAAGTGAAAAGTCACCTCCTCAGTGGGAATGGCCATACCACAATCCCTTTTCCATTTCACCTCAGGATTTTGGGCATGTGCACATACACACATGCACACACACCAGGCATGATTTTCAAGCTGCCGGGTCCAGGACTTGATCTGCAGTAGACCATGTGGGAATCTAGCACCTTAACTACCATATCATCTGCTGGTCCCATCACTCCCATATGTAATGTAACAAAAATAATGAACACATTCACAGATTTTTAGAAGGTTTATTACAGATACTGAGAAAGTCTTCCCATCATCTACAGACCCCAAATAAGAGAATCCCATGTTTGCTCATAAAACCTGGATTTACTTGGTACAAAATTTGAGTCTTTGAAATACAGTAGGTAAAAATTCCAATAAAAACTCATTTTGAAAGTAAATCGACACTGACAAGGAATACAGAAATTTTACACATCACTTGTTAGAAGTTAAAAGATTTTGTTACTATGTGCTTCTAAGTATATATATTGACTTTAAAACTTGCTAATAGCAATTTGAAAAGATAGAAGCTCATGATTTATTAAGATAAATATTTCATTAATCAAATACTTTTGGATTATCACGATGTCCAAATGTTTTAAGAAATTTTAAAATATAAAGTATGACTATGAAGTCATGAAACTGATTGACCTTTTTAACCAGCCTAGGAAAGTCTGTACAGTTAAATGAAGGGTAGTGTTTTAAGGCAATCATTACAAGAGCCTTCTCAAAGGATAATACCATGGCCTAAAGCAGTTTTGAAATGTCTCTTTTTGTAACTATCTGCAGCTTTGAGATGCCTCTTTCGTAAATACCTGGAAAACTACCTGAGCTTCACAATTAGTCATTTGCTTGATTTGGTCCCCAATCCTATTCCAGTTAAATTATCCTTTATATTCATTATCCTTTATATTCACCAGTTTGGGCAATTTTGAAAAATCTTATTAATCTTTATACAATGAAGAGTTGTCACTTACAATATTTAAAGGAATGCCAATTCAGGTTGTGATGGTAATTTTGAAATTTGAACATGTACACACTTCAAAGATGTGTAAATTATAGGAACTACTCACATCATGAACATTTTAATGAGATTTTTAAAGCAATAAAGACTCATAACACTGAAATAGGACTCTACAGTTAAAAAATGGAAGAATGACTTTATACTATGTGGCAAAACCCATAATATAGAACATCTTGGAAGTCTGCAGCTGTTAGTTTTTAACTTATGCATGTAGTTCAGTAGCATGGACCCAATAAATTGTCAGCTCTGAGTGTCTCTTTAGGAATCACTGAGTTAAAATTGTAGTTAAGTGACAGCAATAGTCTTTGTTGAAAAATGTTATTAAATAGCACCAATATTATTTAGAAATAAAGTGAACCATTAATAGAAATACAGACTACAAGTTTAATTTCGAATGATAAGAAAGAAGGCATCTCATAGAAGAAGTGAGAATTAGATATGAATTATTTTAAGATCACAGCCAGATAGACATTTGTCCTAACGTTAGTCATAAAACATTTCAGGATTTTGCTTGGAAAAGTTAAAAAGGAAAACCTTATGTATTGTTCTTTTACATTCTATTCCCAAAGAAAATATATAAATGCTTACATAATTGAGATAGTGTAACATTACCAATGAAGTTACCTTGTAAGAGACATGTTTTCTCACTCCTTCTGTGTATTAGTTCAACAGATAACAAATACAATAAAAATGCTTTAAAGCAATCTGATTAGAGCAACATTTACATTAGATACAAAATATACAGAAAAATGAAACATCTTGTTAAATAGGCCTGTAAGTTAACAATATGTTAAAGGAACATATTTTCATGACTCTACTTTCACATTTTTTTCTCATTATATTTTATAGTTACTATCATAGTTACTATGTGCATTTATTACTGCAATTTATATGATCTTTGGACATCCTATACTCAAGTGTTCTTATGACTATATTTGTAAAGGTAATTTAAAAAGTGCTACTCCTGGGGTTAAAAAAAAAAAGAAATCCCATGTTTTGATAAGCAGTTGTACACAAGACTATTGTGTTGTTTTGAGAGAACTGTCCCTTAATTACTATAAACTCATCATTATCAAATGCACACTTTTGTACTAAAGCAAAAACTGCCTTTAAAATGAAGGGTCCCAACCTACCACAAAATTCTTGCTATAAAGTCAGATGGGAAATTTGGGGCTATTAATTAGAAAAGCATTATTTGAAAAGATCTGCCAATAAACATTTTAAAATGTGGCTGCCCATCTTAATAGTTTTCTTAATTAGAGCAGTGGAGAAAGGAATAGAACAGTAGCTCTTTCATGCTTCAACAAACAAGGGACTGTTACAATTATAACAGTGTCCAAATCGCCAGACCTGGAGTCCAAGTGTTCAGTCACGGCTCTGTTGCAGGCTGACAGAAGAGAAGCTTCGTCCTATGCTTGTACACAATGGGGCAATGACAACATCTGTCACACTCTTCCATATTGTCTGCACTGAAGGCAAGACCATCAGGCAGGTCTTTACAAAAGGCATTATAATCCTGGAAAAGAGGAAGGAGAGATGTGTAAAGATTATTGGTGTTACCAAATAAGGTCACCGATTATACATGCAGGAAAGAAAATAATGACCTAATTCACTTAAATTAGGTTGAACATTTGAAGCAAATAAACGAACACTGAGCCCCATAATGACAAGCGGTATAAAAGACACAGCGCTTACAGAAGAAACAGAGGTGTAGATGATAAATGCTAATATTCTTTCCACTGGTAGCATGCTATCAGAAATAAAAACAAAATGGGAAATGTATCTTCCTGAGCTCTATCTTTAAACATTCCTACCTTCAAATTTCCCAGAGGTTCTACTTCCCAATAGCCTTCCCTATTGCCTCATTACACTTCCTTCCCCTGGACAATGTGAGATTGAACGCTTTCTCTTTATGCTTGTATAGCACAGAAATAAACGTCTTAATCTTCAAATTCGCCAAAAGGCATTATAAATAGATGCCTGCATTTCTGTCTTTCCTGCTAGAATGCAAGTTTAAGATGAGGACACCTTTTGCCTTTAGTAAATGTTAGAGCCAAAATGAATTTAGCATTCTGTTATCCTTTATAGTTTTCAATGATTACTTTTCCGTAGTAATTACACATACTGAAAATGGTTGTGAGGTATAGTTTAAAAAGCCCTGTCAATACACTGAGATAAGAAAAACTAATCTGTCTTGATGTTCTTATTTTGTATGCATTTTCTTAAGATAACTACAGAGTCTTACATTTCTCAACTAGTTTGTTTTCTGTGTAATCCTCTGAATAATGTTATCTGTTGTAGTAGAACTCTTTGAACAAAAAAGTATATGCTGAAGTCTTAGGCATTGCTGGTGACCTCAGTGGAATTTTTATTATTACCTGGGTAGGCACAAAGGAGTGAGGTTCATTTTTTTGCTTTGCTATTAAGGCGTGGCTTAAATAAAGGTCTGCTGTACTTAGTCCAAAATGAAGGCAAGTTTAGTAACTGTCTAATTGGGTGGCATAATTTTAGAATACTGAATTATTCATATTAATTATTTACATGGATTATATTTATCTTATTATATTCCAAAGGCTAAATACATGAAGCACTTTTATCAGAAAATTAATTACTGAGTGTTTCAGAGCTAAAGAGTTGAACAGAAAACCAGATGATGGAAACTTTTGATTTCTTATCTGATCGTTTCTCACTTACATGTGGCCTAGGGTCAATTGCTATAAATTGAGAACAGGAATCTTATAGAACTGGCTGTCAGGAGTAACGCTTATTTTGTACCCTTGAAATATCCAAATGATGATGTCATTATTGTGAATAATAAATGTATTCTGAAGTGAGAATATACATTGAAATCAATTATAATAACATAAATGTCAAATTGATTATAAGTTATACTATTGATATAAGACTGAAGTTCCGGGACCAGTAGATGGCGTAATGGCTATGTTGCTGGACTCCCATGTTGTCGACAGCGGTTCAAGTTCCAGACTCAGTGATTTAAATTCATGTTGGGCACATGTGCGTGCGTGCCCAAGATCCCGAGAGGAGAATGGAGAAGAAGGGATTGCGGCGTTGCCATCTCCCCCAGGGGTGTGATTTCTCACTTTCTGTTTCTCTGGCTCTCTCTGTCTTTCTGGCAAGCGCACACGCCCTATAGCAAAAACCTCTAAAAACAAAACGAAACAAAAACAAAACAAAAACAACTGAAGTTTTAATCTGAAAGTTTCCTAACCAAATCTACTTTCCTCAGAATTCAATGTAGTTTTCACTCTGCCTAAGGCTAAGCTAAGGCTAAGGAATCTTCTATCTCTATAACTGCTTAGATTGCCATACTCTAAAAGAGAATCAGGCACATGACAAAAATTGATTTTCCAGTTTCCCGAAGTGCAATTACATTCATTCTAAGACATCAATTCATAGAATGTGATAAACTCTTTTTAATTTTATTTTCTTTCAGGGATTTTCTCATTCTGGGGTAGAGAATTCAATGATCTAGTTGATATCAAATTGAAATAGTGTTCTCAACATTACAAATAGTTTTCTTTCTGAAACTCCAGATGGCTTGGAGTAACCAAAATTGGGTTGAGACTCAGTGTGGCAAACCAAACATTTCCTAAATATTCTATAACCTATAAGATTATGTATTTCTCAGTTGAACAATAAAATCCTGGGATGGAGACTAAGTTTTATGCTAACTATAGTGTCAGGCACATTGGATTGCCACAGCAATCTGCTGTACTAAAATCATTTTCTAGAAAGGAGATTGCTACTGCTCAACTTCCATCAGTTGAATAATGCATTGCATAGCATTGCAAAACTAAGAGGGCAAAAATAAGAGGGATGGATTCTCTAGTTACATTTCTTTGGTTATGATATTAATATAATTATGGCCAATTATCTTCACTTGACGAATGGCAGTTATCTGTGTCTGTGGTGTGGAATCAAACCAATTAATTGGATCTAATGTCCTATACTTCTGGTCTAGAATCAATATCACTGCATTTCTGTTTTTTTATTTACTTAAAGAGTCTAAAATCAGAGCTCTTGCAATATTCTGACTTGTCTCAAAGTTGTATTGCTGCATATTTTCATAGCTCTGTTCACTCTCACAAGTTCTTGGCATAAAAATAAATAGCCTGGTTTTTTTTTAAAAAAAGGCTTATTCAAATAGGTTTTCCTTTTGGTAAGACCTTTCTTTGCTATGTTTTTATTCATGTCATGGAAATGTATTCCATTAACAATAAGCTATTTCATCAAGGCATAAACTAACTTTCAAGCATTTTTATTTGAAATTACCCTCTATTTGCAATCACAGCAGCTTGATGACGAATGTATGATGGTTAAATGTTAATGCCCCACACAATTGTATTTTGAAAAAACAGCTGAAGTTAAATAATACATTCTGTGTGGCTAGAAGAGAAGGAGGTCGATTCACCAATAAAAGCACTACGCAAAAAAACACCTCTCCTTTTGAGGTCAGCCAGGGGGAGAGAGGCATCATTTGGTAGTTTCACTTACTTTACTTATATCTTTTCATTATTTAGTAAATGGAAAACCTGGGCGGTTTTTTTTTTTGTTGTTTTTTTGTTTTTTGTTTTTTTTTGGTCTTCCACAAAAGCTTTGGGAAGGCCTAGCTCTAGTGATCACAAATGACACTCTGTATTTCCAGACAGCTTCATAGCCAGCATTTCTCAATATGCTAATGTGATCACTCCATTTTTCACACTTTTGAAAGTGAGAAGACTAACACACAGAGGTCAGATAACTGTGTTTGGTTAATGAAGAATCTCAAGTTTTATGTGCTGATTTAGTCATCTTTAGAATAAATGTAGGAGTGCATGTCAGAATAGGAGCTAACCAACTAGCTAACCTTTGTGGATCTGACCACGTACAAAGGCAAATATTTTCTCAAGATTTGCAAGATTTCTCTTGCAGCCTTTTGGTACTTTCAACAGTTTCATCACTGACCATCTTTAGGGATCGTATTAAACCAGTGCTCTTGGTTTATCCTTTATGTATTTGGTAAATTTTAATTTATCCTTTAAAAGCCATTTACTTCCCAGACTCTTCCCCCCGTTCTAAGCCTTCCCTGCCCCTCCTCTGTGTTCTAGATCAGCGTAAACTGCATTTTCTCTGCGAGCACCTCTGCTCCTAACAGCTGCCCTCCTCTGCTGCCAATAAACTAACGATGGGTCCTATGCTCTATTCATCCTGGGCCCAGCATATGCACTCAATAGATTTAGTTTGTTGAACAAACTAGCCAGTTAACTGAATAAATACACGAAGAATCAGATGATAAAAAGGAATGAAGAATTTGGTAGCTTCGGGCAGTGAACACTGAGCATGTATTAGGGTGTGGCAATCCCATATGAAGTGGTGAAGAAAGACATGGCAGCATCCGGGGTTATACATGTCACCAGGACACCAGGACTGCCCTGATGCACGAGCTTGACAACTGTCCCAGTATTGGGGATGATCTGAATAGTCTTCCTTTTAGGATAAAGTAGATATCCTTTAACACCATAACAAAACTTCCTGCGAACCTATGTGTTCCTTATTAAAAAAAAAAATGCTTAAAATGTTCTCCAAAGTTTTATGATGCATTTTAAATGTGAATAAAGTTACTCAGAGCATCCTATCCATGTTCAGTGGGTTTCCCTATTTCTATTCCTTTTGAACTAGAGGCCACTCTCACTTGCATAATGTGTGGAAAAAGTAAGTGGAGGACTTTCTCATTTCATTCTCCTGAAGCTCGAGTTCATGTGGGCGGGGTCTCTCCTTCATTGCATGCACCCTGCCATCTGCTCTGGGCCCATCTTTACCTTCTGCCCATGGAAGGATTGTTGGCCCCTCTACAGCATGCTTACCCAGGTCCCCCATACCTGTCCAATTGTACCGTCAGTGGCACTCTGCTCAGACATGGCTTTTGTTTTACCCCAGCAAAGGTGGTGACTAAAAAGGTAATGAAAGAAAAAAGCACCCTGCCCAGAAGCACAGGCACAAGTCATGACAAGCCTTAGGAGAGAGCAGCCCTGGGGCAGGAAGCATGCCTCCCAGGTCCCCACCTCCACTCGGTTTATGTGTGCAAAGGAATATCACACCCCCGGACAGTGGGCATTCTTTCTTCTGTTTATACTCCCAGCCCAAACTATTACTCTAAGGAAAGCACTGCTTTTCCAGGCCTTCCAGTTCTTGCTACTGCTCAGGGACTGATGCTCTTTTTTCCCCTGGCAACCGCCTGGGAGATGGGGAGGGCAGGGGACAGGCGACAGGGGACGTTCCCATGTTTCAGAAAGCCGGCCCACCCCGTGTGCCCCTTCTCACCAGATGTGCAGACAGCTGAGGGTGGCAAAGAGAATTCCCGCCACGAAGGCCAGGGGGATGGCCAGAAACACGGTCAGAAACTTGTAGAACACGTATTTACTGATTTCAAAGAGGGCATGACTGCAGATCCACACTTTGTCAAAGGAGTGCGTCGTCACCGGCTCTGCAATCACATCCTCGAAGCCCAGCTGCGGAGATAGGACCGGGAGACCGGAACTGTCACCCAACCTGCCGCCCGGGGCACCAGGAGCGCTTGGGGAGGGGAAGCAAGAAGGAAAGACCCTGTTTCTCTTAGGGTCCGGGTGGGCTCACAGGAATCTGGCTCAGAATTGGCTACGCTGGTGGCCCAGCGGCGGGTGGGACGTGGGGAGGGTGCGGGTCCCGGAACCGCCGGGCTCACCAATGGATGGAGGTGGAGGTGGGAGTGGAGGTGGGAGTGGATACGGAGGTGGGGTGGGAGCGGAGCGGGCATCTGCACCCCCCCCTGGCGTGGCGGGGACCTAGGCCTGTGTGAGGCCGACCCGCCTGCGGCTTCACCTTAAGATGCGAGTTGAGCCGGTGCGGATCCCGGTCCTGGCCCAGGTCCGAGAACTTCTCGGGCTGGGCGTAGTCGACGCCGCTATGGTGGCTGTAGGAGTCGTCGTCCATGAAGAGCTGCACGTCCGCCTTCTCGGTCTCCAGCCCCATCGCAGCTCTCGGTGCGCGGCGGCTGCACCGGGCTGGCGCGGCTCCGCTCCCCGCCCGCCCGGTCTCCCCTTCCCGTCGCTCCGGGCCCCGCCCC